TTTCAAAACTTTATCATAATCATTTGATAGTGTTGTGACTTCCAATATCTTGAGTCCGAAATGTGTTTATGAACTTTTTCGATTGGTTAATCTTTTCAGTAAAACAATTTGTTTTTTACTATTTAAAAACACCTTATACATACGGTCTCCTTTTCTTCTTAAAATTCTGATCATTTTCTCTAAATTTTCTGATATAATAATAAAAATTGTTAGGGGGGGTACACCCATACGCGTACGAATGTGCCCTTTCTCGAAATGTACGAACGTGCCCCGAAGATCAATAATAAAATTATTTTTTCTAACACAAAACCCACGTAGAAAAATACACAATATAGAATATATTATTATCTTAATCGTATTCACTTACGATTAAGCAATAATTCAATAAAATTTGACGTATGATTAAAGCACGGAAAATCCAAAAACATTAACAAAATATTTACTATGAGCATGCCAAAAGACTTTAATTTCTCTAGTTTCGCTCGCAGTGGCTGCATGTGTGGCTAACTTCGTGGACAACTGGCAGTCGCCGGCGCCTATCCACTAACACAAAGTCGTAATAAATAGGCTTTTCTAGAAGATGTAGTAGTGACTGTATGTAGGTTCCCCGTGTACGAATGGTGCCAATCTTCCCCTACTATACAAACGACTTTATACTTCCTACATTCTCCAAACTAAAGCAATAATAATTTCATTATTTTCTAAGCTAAAATGTCATAAATATTTTTTGTTAACATTAACATAGAGCAGAATAACATAGAGAAAATAACTTAGTGCTAGCTAACTTCGATAATATGACCTAAAACCTTACCAATTGTAATATTATTCGTGACTGTGGGATGAAGTTTCAATAAATTATTTTGTGAAATAAGCTACTGTTGTATAACTTCTGCTCTTTTAGATTTTATTTATAACTCGTCATAAATGATAGGTAGACCTGCCTAGTTTACTCCGTTCTCGAATACAAGAAACTTAGGTGGGAGCGGTTTTCAATTGGAAAATAACACTTCATTATGGGTCTTATGCGATAACACATTATTATCCCACAAGACGTGCATTAAACCTATAATATGGATATCAATCTTAAACTTTAGTGTCTACGATAAATTCCTGATAATAATTATACACTTAATCTTAAATAAATTTAATAAGTCAATAATAAAAAAATATCTCATTATCTGATTGATTTTATATATTTGTCAAGTTATAGTTTTCAACTACTCTAACCAACAACCTACTTACTAAGATTTTTATTAGTGTTATAGGCAATTGTTAATGTAATTCCCGTTTATGTTTTTTACAATTATTTGTCCATGAATATATCACTATATCTCATGTCATGTATTATGCAAATCGAAACAAACTTAATGGAATAAGCACAGTTTTTTTTTTTTATATAACAGTAATTTTGACTTTTAATTTAGAGTATGGGAAAATTTTCTGGAACTCATTAAATAAATTTAAAAACACGACTGTAAAAATTGAACTAAAATAAGTAAAAGAGTTGCAAAAATTTTTATTTTGTTCAAACAAGCCATAAACTACACATTTATTTTATTCTAAGTTTCATTTTTCGGTCGTGTTTTTAAATTATTTATTGTTTATTTTAGTGATTAGTAAATGTGTACAATGTATATATTTTTGGAATGAATTCATTGACCACTTAAATTTAATACCCATATTATCATAATTGAAGAAATATAATTTTTCCTATTTTTAAAATGACATCATACATCCGCCATATTGAATATATTAAACTAACCTTTTTTTTAATGAAAGACGGCATAGGGTCTTTTTTTATATTGTTAATATATACATTTGTCTCGTTTTCTTTATTGTCTTTTGGCCCAATCTTATACGGTGTCGTTGTAATCATTCCTACAATTTCTGTGAGGATATCCTGCCATACTTCACCATGAGTCAATTACCCACGAGCAGCGCAGTCATATCGACGATGCCAATTATGAGGATCAGTAGTTGCTGTGTAATTGTGTTAAGTGATGCCGCATCCGCCAATAAGATCTGATTTCTTCTTAATGATAATTAAAACTCTCCCGATTTTGTTGAGCCCAGTATCAAGGTAACAATTGTCTTGTCTATTTAGTATAATACCTGTGCTATTCTTTAGAATTATATGAATAAAGGAAAATAACTCAAATATATATATTTAAGAAAAGGCTTACCACAAGTCTTTGATTAGAAATTGCTTCTTTCAAACTTTTCGAGGTTCTAGTTAATTCACTAAAATAAGAAATAGTTTAATGGTTTTAGAATGCATAATTTATAATACAAATATCTTAAGAAATTAAAAACTTTAGCATGAAAGAAAATTCGCCATCAAGGTATTGAATTTGTTTTAACATTGTATCACAAAGTGCCTTTAATCTTCCTGTAACTTGTCTCATATTTTAAGGTTACGATTATGTACATCTAATCACAAAATATTTTATAGCTAGTTCAGATTATTCATGAGAAAATTAATTAAAAAATAAACTGATTTATAGATTTTCATTTTAATTTGTTTAAAATGTCGTTATAATTTATAAACAAACAAATAAGGCATAATAACTAACTTTTTGGCGCAGTCTCGATTATCGAATAGATATTTAAATAGATGATAAATGAAATTATTACAAGCAACTTTGCAATACGAAAGTTATTATTTCAAATAGTTTTAATTCCTTACTTTATTTGCTTTTTCCGCCGAGGTTGGGGCTTGATTTTTTAAAGTGTAATTTAATTTTTTATATAAAATTCATGCAAAAATAAACGAAATTATATTGGATCAATGCAGCTAAAGGACAGCAGCTTTATTTTTTTGGTATAAATAATTGTAAGTTCATATTTGGGGTTGTTACTAGAAATTGTTGTTAGATATTTCAAATATTCCCACAATACCATGCATGTTATATCTAAATCACTATTGTGATTACCACGTTACGAAGCTGAGTAGTGACGCACGAGTGTTACCGCGAAGCGCCGGTCGGCTCGGACGCAGAACGCATAAACTGACCGCGGCATGTTTACTCCTCTTGCTTAATTGGAGCAATCGGCCCCCGACAGAATTAATAAATCCGATCGTCCGTACGCAATAAATCGCGAGCGCCCAAGCCCACGCGCAGTTTTTAAAGAGTTTCAGTAGATAATGTAACAAGTTACGATGTAGTTATCTTAGTTCTATCTTAACAACATTGGTAGATGGAATTCTTAACTATAATAAATAAACACATATAAGACAACACTACATTCACAGCTCAGATTCCAATATGAGTTGTAATAGCTCCCGTATTATGAAGTATCTGAGACAACGAAGGTGCCGTATTATCGAGTGGCTGGGACAGCAACCAGCCCCGAGACAATATAGAAAAGTCCTTTTTCTACATTGACCCGACCGGAAAACGAACCCGGGATCTCAGAGATGACGATACATTGAAACCGGCGTACAAACCACTAGGCTACGGTGGTCATCTAAAGCTATGATAAGAGTAACAATGTTTATAACTGTGTGTGATATATAATGTAAAAAAAAAACTAATTACGCAATACTCCTTACGTTGTGACTGCTCCTTTTTGATTGGTTTGATAAATAATAACTTGCTCTAATATTTTATTTAACAAGTAATTTAATTGTATTTCAATGCAAATGTCAATATTTATAAACAACTGGCCTTTAAAGATATCTTCGCGAAATATTAAACCTTGCAACCATTACAATTCGTGCGAGAATTCAGTAACTCTAATATGGATCGCTGCGGGTTTCGCCCCTGGGTACACGGCCAGAGCGAGCATGCTCCCACCAAGACACTGCGGCGTGTTATTGTTATAACACACGCGACTAACGCTGTTTATAATTTAAACACTGGATACCGTGAGAGAGTACAACATTACTGCCCAATGTTTTCCGCGTAAAGCTCACCAAGACATTCTAAACTTGTTCCGAGGCGTACATGATAGCCAATAAAGCCTCGGACCGGCCTCAACTACCGACTTTCCCAGTGCAATAAGGTGGACCGTTCACACAGATGCGCACCCCGGGGTCAACGCGTCGCCAAAATGTCGGCCACCTGTATGACCACCCGTTATAACTCGACATTATAGAGCGACCATTAGATCTCGGAGAACGATAAATATAATCTACTTTGAATTCTTGGACGGTGCTCCCAATTAAGCTACACCACGCTACTACATAATGTGCGGGCAAGTGACAATTCCGCTACTGTTTTCTTTTTTATTTAAGTACGAGACCGGAATTATTATGTTTTCTACTAAATATTTTTATGGCACTGTGAAAATATAAATGTTATTCTATAGAATAATGATAGGATAGTTTTAAGTCATATAATTTATACAATGCTTATATAAATTAAGTATTACTGAAACCATCTTCAAGTTGTTCTTTATTTGTTCTGCTCATAAAATTTCATACGATAGTTTTCGAGTTAATTGCAATAATATACACCGACGCCGTGAGGGCTATGTTTTTTAAATATAGATGTAAGGTTAGCAAAATATAATATAGTTAGCATAGTATAATAGTTTGCAGTGCACGGGTGTTATCAATCTGTAAATAATGCAGATTACAACGTGCTACAGCTATGTAAAATCGTTCAATATTTTTCTATAGGAGTGTTTATTAAAAAGCAAAACCTAGAGTTGATAGTAGGTGGGTGTGAGGTGGTGGCCCATGACACGAGTGAGTTGCCACCAGCCGCCGCCGCCAGCCGCCGACAGCTTTACGAGTGTGATTGCAACGACTCGACCGTTCTGCTCTATCAAATGCGCCACAATACATATCCATAGGCTTAATTAACTCGGACAGCCCGTCCTATGTTCCAACTTCCACAGTAATATTTTCTATTCAACGTTTATTACTTAACGATTTCTCCCGACGAGGTACGAGTGTAAGACGAATAGCATCTCAGAGTTTTCTGTAATTGATTTATTCCATATAATGATCGCCTTTCCCAGCGCGGCGCGATGATAAAGGTGTGGCGTGCAGCCTAGGGAGTTGTTATCGCGAACCTATTTCCGGCCGTCAGCGGTCTGTCGCGAGAGCGAAGCGCGATCATCGTCCGATATATTTGTCGGCGCACCATCACCGCACCGCGTCCGCGCACGCAGCGATCCTTATCATAGGCGCTATAGTGACTGCAATTGCACGCCGGTAAACTTATAAATACCTGTACCAATTAAGCTAACCGAATAACAGATGATTCAATTGTTTTGAGACCTCCCAAATCATAAGTGACATATTTACCACTTCGTGCGGACGTGACGATCCATATCTGTGCGTAGGTGAGTTTCGGGCGGCACAACATGCAAAGTGACGTTTCTATTTACCCTATCTTAGCTAGATCTGTCGCGGCGTGTTGTAATCGTAACGCGGTGAGATCGGCGAAGCACAAAGGAGCCGAGATGTACGAGCGGCGTAATGGCACGTCACAGGGCTCAGTGGCACGGCTCTCGAGGCGGTTGCGATGCATATCTACGCACCGGCTCTGTAAATGGGCTGTTTTGGGTATCTACTTGCTAATGAAGCAAGGGGTTGCATAGCGAAACTGGACAGTGAATCCAGAGATATGACGACCGTAATAGTCAATTTACTCATGTCGTTAGTCAAGTGGCTTTATGTCATGTGCTACTACTTATTGTCTCGGTAACGACGTAGGAATAGGTGATGTTGCAAGATTCTATCGACTTATTACGTTCATAGTAACTACTACTGATTGCGGTAAGGTAAAACACCAAAAAGGTTTCATTTGATTTTGTATACCAAAATAAATAACAATACTCTTCTATTAGGGCATTACGCTGTATTGTGTAGTTATTCTGTTTCTCTTCCTACAAAACTATTAAACTATTTAAACAGTGGGTAGATAAAAGATCTTCCAAATTATCTAAAATTTGATTTGTAAAATTTTCTGCCTTACTTGTTCATGTTTCTTCAAATAAGACAGCCTCGGGAAAGCCTTGTCGCAGAACTGACACTGGTACGGCGTGTGCTCCGTGGCGCCGAGAGTGAACGGTGGCTCTACGTCAGCATCAGCCGCATCAGCTGAGGTGGGCGTGGAAGCTGGTGATGGGGACGGCTCAGGCGTCGATGACGGCCACGAGCTGCCCGCCGTGCTGCCTACGCTGCCCAGGGCCTCTACAGAACAAGTAACATACACGTTATTGTCTAAACATCATGATCATCCTCATAGAGATGAGACATATTTACTAGAAAAGATGCACATATCAAGTATTTTACAATACTAGGCGGCACCTATTATATTTTTTTTAAATACTTGATCCATCAAGTATTTCTACATTTCAAGTGATTTTCGACCCTATCATAAAATATTTTTCGTATGTACGTCATTCTCAGTATTTCTCTTCATTTCAGAATTATAGACTTTAACACTACGAAGTAGACTACTACGGAGTGAGTAGGTAAGTGCTTGATTAGAAGAGAAGAATAGGTGCCTGAAATATTACATAAAATTGTAAGTACCAATTTAGTACTATTTGTTTATAAAGAAGTCTGAACATTAACATAAAATTATATTAATACTAGGTAGATTAGACATTTGGATTGAGTAGGTATTTAATAACGCTAGGAATAGGTGCAATTAGAATCAAATTTCACTTAATACAACCCAACACTATCTTTCACCGTCAGTTCCATCACTTTCCACCGTCGAGGCATAAGCCTCCTTTATGGTTTGGACACAGATGATAAAGCAATAACCCACCACGCAAGGCAAATTCGATTAAACAACTCATTAGTGAGGACAAACGCCTGAACAAACTTTCCGAAACAAGGAGGACCTCAATATTTTTAGGTATATACTCGACTTTTGTGGAACATACTTAATCTCAGCAGTCACAGTCGGAACACGCTCACCATTGTAGCATCGAGCTCCTCATTTTATATTTGCACACTACAACACAGCTGCCATGTTTTATTTTCGGATAAAAGACAAATTAGCAATTATAGCTAATTTGCCTTTTCTTTGTTCTTGTACATATGTTTTTTTATATATTCTGTAAGGGTGGTGCCTTACAGAATATATAAAAAAAAATAACTATTTAAATTTAATATAAACGAAATTACTGATTTATTTTTTGTTTATTTTGAGTTGATCGTAGAAGGGGTTAAAGTTTGGAATTTTCGATTTATACTGAAAGTTATTAATAAATAACAATTCTAAGTTGAAAATTGATTGTTACGCATTTTTTTAAATAAGAGCCTCATAAGTATCTTGTAAAAGAAACTTTCACTCAAAATGTCACATCGTGAACATATTTTTGAGTATATTTCATAAAATTTTGTCATTACAAATGGTACAAAGATATGGTGCAGACTGTAAACCACATTAAGGCAGACAGACTCCTCCCTCGTTTGAGATAAAGCCGTCATAAATATTGGCAAAGCCCCATATTTCGGCGTTAAGGACGATACATCAGCGGGAGCACATCGAGTGGCGTGAAATATAAACAAATTGAATGGCCACAATGACGAGACGAGCCGCAAATGATGAGTAATGATAGTACCAGCCCGACTTTCTTGGGGAATTTAAAATATAGCACATTAAAGAAATGTAGTGCTTCTATGCACACTTCGTTAGGATTGTGGATTTGCGTAGAAATATTGAGACGGGATCATGTTTATGTTGTTTGTTGTAATAAAATTCTTGGACAGTATTGGTTTATATTATTAGGTTATTGTATAAGGCGAAGATCCAAAAGAATAGTATTGAGTTTTGAAAGCCCGAGTGACTTAATAAAATAAATTTCTCAGCATGTAAATCAGACAGACGATTCGTCAAGCGTCACTCGCGTGGTATATACGTTTCTTTCGAATGGCAAATCCAAAAATTTTATTAAATATTCCATTTTCCATTCGAAAATTTCGTTGAAAAATCTTTATAAAAGAAATTTTATAAATTATCCTATTTATATATCAAGCACGTGTTTTATGCAATCTTTTTCCACCCTAATGCATTTAGATGCATGAGACTATTTATATCAATCGGGCGCGCGCCCCGGACCCGCCGTAACGACCCTGCCTAATGGTCGGAATAATGACAACTCAATTTAGTTGACTTGGGTAACCATTGTAAATGAATTTGAGTAGTGTTATACCTAGGCAATTTATGTTTTTCAAATTCAAACTTAAATTATCGATAATCGAAATATTTTATAACTTTATCATCGGCTATATATAACTTTATAAGTTTTGTGTATTTCATTTTAATTATATGCAGACGTTAGACATGTTTTTCAATAATAACTATATTATGTGTCCTTAATCAAGTTCTTTAGACTGGTTTTCAATATTAAGCATGTACTTAACTTCAGATTTAATATACAGTGAATAATTTTAGAGAACGATATATTGGTCAAAAATAATAAAATTGAAAATTAAAGAAATATAACTACTTATCACGCTTCGTGAGTTTATATATTGTGGTGAGTGTGGTGACAAACGGACAGTGGAGTCTTACTTGTAGAGTTTCTGTTTTTTCTATTTTAGTCTTTTAAAACTATTAATAATATGGAAACTACAGATGGCGCTTTGATGATACCGTAAGCTCCGTATATATTATTTGTGATAAATAGTTAAACTCAATTAAAATTGATGTTTATGTGTGTTTTTTTTTTAAGTGTATCGCACAATTGACCACAACAAATGTTATCTCTGAAATCTGTGAAGCACATCTGAAAATTAAACAATAAATTGATAAGGGCCACTTGTATGCCGGGACGATGCAAAGAGGGCAAGAGCTCGGCAATATGTTTGCTTGATAAGCAAACTGCCGATTTTCAGCTTTGACCTAAATTTGGATTAGCGTGGAACCAAAGAAATGGTGTAAAATTTATTAATGTATTAAATTAGAAAGTTAATTTCAAATAATTTAAAATAATCATGATACATACATAAAAAAGAAATATATAGAAAAGCGTATAAAATAAATGAATAAATATAAATTAAAGTGAAAATTATATTTAAATGTTAAATTATGACAAATTACATAAATATCTGAAATTCAATTATAAATATTTGACATCACCATCAAACAAAACAAAAATAACCAATTTAAAATAACTACTTAATAACCCTACAACTATACGTTACATATGCGACATCAATCAATACCTTTCCATAAATGCTCGCTGGTTGTTATGATATTACCTTCTAACAGCACGCAATTGATCGTGAAGTGTTATAGTTGTGTAGCGACTCTTTCTTATACCATAAATCTCGGTTTTCTTCGTATACTTTCATCATACAATCATCGTTCATCATTGTGACTAGTTTGTGACGGGTTCGGCACATTTTGTTGGTTAGAAAATGAAACCAACAACTAGCGGCTGACTAGGTTTAAGAAGTTGGTATATTCATAGTCTAAATAAAAATATTGTGACAACAAACAAAAAATAATATAAAAACAGTTTGTATGAATTTCTAAAATATGATAAGTAGTAGAAACGATCACGTTTTATCTAGAAGATACGATGCTCAAAATTACAAATTACGATAAATGAATAATGTAAAAGAAATTATGTTAAAGATCAAAGACAAAAAGTTTGTATGTGGAAACTTGAAATAAATAGTGTGGCACGACGCACCGTTATAAGTTCACTTGTCAGACGGAAAGATGGAAGCACTATGGCGTCATTTGTATGAAACAAAAAAAAAGGATAATTTTATATTATAAAAAAAGGATGTTTTAAAAAAACTCAATTTTATTGCGTTAATGGTTAAAATACTGTAATGTAGACTCTTAAATGTCTACATATTTTTTTATTTATAATGACTAGTAAATTAAGACTAAGTAAAAATTTCTATCTCTACAATCTCTAATTACAAATGTGCTTGCTCTGTGTTCTTATAATGTGAAAGTTACTAATATAATAATTATCCATGTGGAGGGACCTAGATCTCGTGTCCGTATCTTATGTAGGTGTAGGCAACGTAAGTACTACTAGTATAGTATAATTAGCACCGATTGCAGGCAATTCCTCGGGTGACGGTGGCGCCGCGCGACCCGATGGTGGGCGGCGGAAGCTCACTTCCTAATTGCGGCGTCTGGCTGGACACCTCGGTCAGCTCGCGGCGCCTTGGCAATCAACGCCAATCGCTACTTATTTTACTACTAGACGTCTTAACGTCAGCATACACTAAATTCATACACCGGTACTGGTTCATTTAAGATAAAAATATATTTCGTATAACCAAGACTGGCAAACGATTGATTTTATGTTCTATTGAAAAATCTCAGTAAAATATTATGAACAGCTATTCTTGATCTTTTATCAAAATAATGAAAATAAATATTAAAATAACGCACTTTCAAGAAATATACAACCGAAGTGGTGTCTAATATCGAGGTTCTGAAATTGAGTGATGAATAGAAATATACTATTGTGATTTATAAGTATTTTTGTTGGTTAGTTAGCACGCTATATTTCTTAAATTTAATAAAATGAGTAATTTTGTTAGCAAACTATTAGCTTAAGTATAGATGATATCAGGAGACCTATATAATTAATGAAAGCTGCCACAATCACGTCCGAAGCATTAACATACATCTCTTGCCGCGATTACTCAGTGATTTTCAACGACTTTCCTACATCTCACAATTATCTCCTTCCCAATACAAGCTACTTGTATGAATACTTATCAGTACTTCAATTGAAATAAAAAAGTGAAGTGGATTTTTTATGATTATCAAATTTAAGATTAATGTGATAAGTAAAGTCTATCAAAGAAAGGTTTTTTTTTCAGATACATTTTAATAATACGATCCATCTTCAGTTTTCAGTAAATTATAGATGGTAATGTCTGTGTATTTAGCAAGACCAATACTGAGCAAATGCCTCCTCAAAAATTTCAGACGATCAGTTCCGCGAGCTCTGCACATAGCCAGATCAAGCTCATAATCTTTCGGGCTGTAAGTAATTTTGGTACGGCTGCGAAACTCCTCATTTCTGATTAAGATTCGCGAAGAAATTCTTAGTATCGCATTCGCCATTGCCCTATGACTGACTTTGAGCCTATTTATGAGGCTTACAGTAAGCGACCTAACAATTTCGTTGCTAACTTAACAATTTGATTGGAAAGAATTGTATAAAGAAGATATCACGCAATGATGATAAGAATATTTAATTTGATTTCATTTATTAAGCATTTATTAAAAAAAAACGAAAACAGCGTATAATCTCCTACATCTGTTTCAAAATATTTTTATTTTCCTTTATACAAGCAATACAACACCAAAAAAAGAATTAGGTTTACCTAGGTAAACTAGGGTTTAGACTAAATATTTGCTTAAAAATCTTATTAATTGAATACCCACAAATAATTATTACAAGCCTATTATTAGCCCCTGCTGAGGCTTAGGCCTTCCCTGGGGTATACCGCATAACTATACTAGCTTCGATTTGGTTTAAACTGGATTAAATTAAAATTCAGTCAAGGTTCAAATTTTTACATTATGGAAACACGTTTGAACGCTTACCTACGCAAAAAAATATATTAATATGTATACCTATTCATGAAACTTCTAATTGAAGTCAATCGGAAGTTTTGTATAGTTTGTATTTTGACCAAACACTAATCTAAGGTTATAGACTGTAAAAATCCTCAGACTATTTTTCACTTATTAAGAAATTTTGAAACAGGTTTGAATTTTAATTACGTTTTAGTTTGTTTGCATTTAATAGGCCACAAAACTACTACACGGATTTTTATAATTCTTTCACTACTATAGTATACCATAACAATAAAATTTTTAAATGTAAAGAACAACTCTTACAAAAGTCATGTTCAAAAGCTATTACCAAAAGAAGTTTGTTGTAAATATACACGTATATACAAAATTATTTTAACGTCACTTTTATTTGATTCGATGATGTCTAAAATTCCTTATAAAAAATACATATCATAATAATTAATCCATGACGTTGATTATAAATCTACCAACTAAAAGTCCAAAAAGCTGTATTTAAAAATGTGAAATCTGATAAATCTTGATAAAAATACAAATAAATATTTTCAATCAATGTTGCATTCATAATGTTATATTAGGTCATCTTAAAGAAAAATCACTTCGCGGACACCTGGAACAAGAATTTTTTTAAGTATTTTCCTTTAAAAAAATATAGAGACCTTTGAGTTTTTTCTTGTAATTATATTTTTTATTTCGAAGCAAAAACCTGTCACGAGCGACTTTGCAGAAATAATAGTATTCGCATTTTTTTTTATTTTTCTATTCCATATTTAGGACATTACACATCGATTGTCTTCGTCTGGCTCATAAACAGGGGTTCTTGCGTGTTTGTTTCAATCTCTTCAAGTTTATTTAAAAGAAAAGATTGCCAGTTATAAATATTTGACGCGTTGCACGCAATACCTTACGTCCCATGGTGCTAAAAGAGAGTGTACTTAATTCATTAGTGATTATGTTGTAAAATGTAAATTAGCATTATAAACTTTCAAAGATATTACCGAACGATTGTAGTTTTTTTTATTATCGTAACATTCGTTCGAATGTGTACCTCGATAAAGATTATTGAATAAAATTTAAGAGTTTATTGATAAAGAAAAAATATGAAGAACTTTTGGAATCTTTTGCTATAAAATAGTTAAAGTTATTGTATAGATTCATCAAATAGAGAGAAATGGTAAGGGGGAAATTATTTTTTAGTAAAAAATTACTTTCTGGTACACAACACTACAGAAAAGATTTTCATTGTCAGATTCAACCTGTGGGCCAATTTTACTAAATAAATTTTGTTTAAATCGAATCGAAAATGGATCGAAAACGGATCGAAACCGAACGAAACTATAGTTTTTAATGACCATTAAAAACGGTAGTTTAGTTCGGTTTCGATCCGTTTTCGATTCGATTTAAACAAAATTTATTTAGTAGAATTGGCCCCCTGAACTGTTAATGAATCACATTAATAATTTGGGTCTTTTGGAGACACGTCTGTCTTCCAAATTGTCTTCATCTTCATATTGAGCAAGTCTTAAAAGTTAGCAGAGCTTTAATATTACCCTATACGAAAGCGACATTGGTACAACCTATCACAATTTCAGGTGGAAATAATAATAAATATCATTTCATTTGTTAAATGTACCAAACAGAGCTTACAATCTGACTTCTGTTATAATTTATGGAATATAAACATGATTAATCTGTAGACCTCTCTATTTCTATTTAGGTATAAATAATCTCGTCTATATAAATATTAAACAACAGCACATGCATTGCTAAGATGTTAAATTAAATAGCTCTGAGGAATTGTAATATGAAAATCAGAAAAAGAAAGATACTACATATATTTGTTAAGGTAGGTAGAGAAGAATAAGAAGAATAGTTTTGCTTCCTTAATAGGTCCCTTAATACCTATTAATTATATAAGTATAAAACAAAGAAGCTAATAATTATGTGTAATTTATACCTTAAATTCGATGAAAATTAAGATATCTCATATTTTTTTAATATGTCCACTTTCCTTTACTACTTTGGTAATCCGTTGATAACAATTGGATATGTTCTAGTGTTTGAGAAAAACAATATGTCAGTGACATGTCAGAGTGTAAAAATCGCAAAATATTTCTATAATTATAAGCAATGGGGGATTTCGTTGATGTCTAATACATTGAGATATTTATTGATTTCTTTTAGTTTCAGAGTTTAGTGACACTTTTTGATTTCCTAATAATATACATAAGCGTCGGTGTCACAGGTATTAAAATAGTTTAAAAGGCAACTAGTTGATATTCTATCGATATTGATTTCCTAAGTTACTTCTTTATTTATATATGTGCATTTACTTTGAATGTGTTTGCCTGTGCTTTACACGTCTTTAAGTGGACTATGTCGAATATAAAGTGCTGTAGATAAATAAGAAATACGAAGAATCTATTAGAATTTTAACAAGCACTTAAGAATCGGCAAGAGACTCAGAAATATTCCTTTTCTTTCTCTTTAGATAAATGGAGAAGTCAAAGAATTATCTAGTTTACTTAAAGTCACTCGTTAAAATAATATGAAAATAACAAAAATGAAATTACTTAAGATTAAATAATATCAATACTATATTCACTATAAATAAACAATAGCGGGACCTGTGCACGAACATGACGCATGCACCAGATATTACTTCACTTAACAATATTTAGGGGGTGAAACGATTTATTGTCAACATTAGCCAGCATATATTTATAGTTTAATTTAAAAATCGATGTCATGACTAATTAAAATGTAATATCGTCCCCTACACGAAACTGAAGGATAAATGTAAATTTCAAAGGAGTAAGCCAAATTTACACTCACCCTTTATATCCTCAGTGATGACGTCGTGGTTCTCCTTGTTAGCTTGAATTTTCTCAATCAAATGTTCCAATCTGCTGCTATTACCCTTAAACAGCATGATCATGTCGTCCGCAGCGGTTACGGCCCGCCTCACCTTATCCGTGGCGAGCAATCATCAGATTGCAGGTGCACCAGTTCCAGTTTATTTTGGAAGTTTTTGCGCGCCGTTTATCGCGCAAATTAATGCGCGCGTGTCGGACAGCTGCCAATAATTGCTGGGCGCCTTCGTCCTACGCTTCACGGCAATTTGGGTGCCTGCTGCCGATCGCCTTAATTGCCCGTGCACCTTTATTTTCCGGGTACAGGTGCAATTATTTCGACTCGTCGAACGGGTTAGAGTTTAGTGGTAACAGACGGTGTATCGGTACGCGCGCCTACAGCGGCGTATACGGCGCGACTGCGAGGTCTGTTGGCTGGACCGGTGGGCGAGCCAGCACCTCGGACCGGCACCCTGCGCCCCGCCCGCGCGCCCCGCCCACTAGCCTACCCCCCACCGCACCTACGCCTTTAGAGGCTTTTAAGAATACACTTGGCCACGTGATAAATACTTAAGCCATTTATCCATCAACGTCCAAAAACAAAGAACAGTTGCCTACGTAGATCTCGTAATTCGTAACCATCTTCTAAAGAGTTAGCTGCGTTAATTCTTTGTTACGTTGTTATATGATATACTTATTAAGTAGATAGCTATTACTTCCAGTTTCTTTTTTGTGATAATTTTGTATGAATAATATGGCAAGACTGACGTTTCAATCTTTATCACAAACGATACAACAAACAATGATTGAAATAGAATCGTGACATTTTTAATAGATTTTCAGTATTATTTTTTTTAGGGCTCAAAATTTGATTATTTAGGTACTTATTAGCTTTTCATACTAACTAATTCAAAGCTTTATATTTCAATAAATACACATAAAGAAAACACAAAAACCCTTTACTTATTATAAATTCCGAAGCTCTACTGCGACATCGAAAACTCCCTCGACGACATACCGCCATTATCAATCAATCAAACACGCCAATTTGACAGTCGCAAAACAAACGAACGTCGTGAAAAATAATAAAGCGAATGACAACGGAATGACGCTAAAAGCTTTTAGAATTTAGAATGTCAGGAAGCGGTTTTTCAAATTTAGAACGCCTGTGGAAAACTGGCTGAGTTTTCCTCGTTCCACCCATAGATGTGGGCGCGGCCAATGGGCGCAGGCGAGCCCCGCGCCCCGCACAGCTTCCACGGTACACTACTTTAGCAGATTACGCCACATTTGTCTGCATTTTTTTCTTTTCGTTTCATACTCCAATTGCGTTTTGTTTGTTATTTTTTGTTGTACCATTGCTTGAGTTGACCGAGAAGTTGAGCGGGTTTTATTGCTTAGTTGGAAAAAAAATATTTGCTTTGCTCAAATTTTTTATTTAGTTGAAAATTATGACGGTTCATTGGTTGTTGTTCAACCGTTCAGCATTAAAAAACATTTAAATGGGTATTTATTTACAAATTTCCAGTCGAATCTCTAGTCTTAATGTCCCGGTCACCCGGCGTCCGACGATCGGCCCTAAGGGGCCAATAGTATATGAGCGGCCGCTACCTTTTAGTTTAGTTTTGAATATATTACGAGATTACAGTGCCAATGCCGTAATAACAAGGATAAACTCCACAAAATCTGTACGAGACTGCACCCTGGTGACTTACATCCAGAATGTTATTCGTCTACATACCACTATCAAGCGACTGTGTGTCCATAATCATAATAAAATAATACAACAAATTTCACTCCTCAGAACAATCATCAAGTCGATCATCAACAAGTCTTATTAATATTTTATAGGCTTCGTGGTAAATTGTATATATATAATATTTTTACAATAGAAATACGTGTATCTCAAATTGTATTTAACGATTATATGTCACCTTGTAAGCAAATTGACTAGAAATCACCAAACAACATTTCCGTTCCACACGCACACAGTGGAAATCAATCATCGATACAAGACCCTTATCTCAACTACACTAACAACATATCCACTAGCAGGTTGAAGTACTTGAGATAACAAATGAACGCGCATGAAACATTCAAGCGGGGAACTGGATTGACACGGAGTTGCCGGGACGCGAAAGGGTTAGCATTAATACTTGAGAGGCCCCACCTCCGGCTGACAAGCGCGATTAGCCTGTCACTGGGCCGAATCTCCGGCTCCTGAATAAAGTATTATGAAAAAAGTGTTCCTTATCTAGGGAACCGGTCATTGGTGATGAGGGTACTCATTAGCTTCTTAAGCTCCAGTGATTTGCGAAACTTTTAGTAAAGGGTTTTAATGTCATAAAAGACGGGTTAGTAGTGAAGCTCTTACACGTTCTAGTAATTCTACGAGTATATTTGTGTAATCTTTTATATTAATAATTATCTTTTTAAATAACTCTTGGACTTAATAATATAGCTAAGATAAAGACAATGAAAAACATTCATTCCGTAAGTCTTTAATCTGAAATATAAAGGTTATTAAGTCTTTGTTTTGAAGAGATAGATAGATTTTATTTTTGTATTTTAATGCAGAAACTTATATAAGAATGAAAAAAGTAGAAGTATGAGTTAATTTTTAAAGATCAATATGGTAAGTTTAATCTTACAACTTTGATAACTTAACTATAATAAAATTATACATAGGACCATCCATTGATCAGGTTTTTCTCGAAATAATCTTCATCAAAAATCACAAAATATCACCAAGGGGGATTAAAAATATTTAAAAACATCACGTGATTAATGGATGACCTCATATATATATAGATAATAATAAAAAATAATTAAAACACGATATTATATTATTCTTTTTAAATAGAAAGCTTTACCCAAAATATTATATGATTCACAGAAAAATGCTAATTTGTTGAAGCAAGTATAATGTACAAATCTTCCTCAAGACAAAAATAGATCAGTGTTCGCAACCCCAACTTTGTGGAAAGTTTTGGTGCAATGAATATTTGATGTGCTGCCACCGCTGTCTCGGTGAAGACGTTCAACCCTTGAGGCTGGCCTCGGAGACGGGCCATTGGCTCATAGAAAATTCATCTACCCTCGCATCGGGATCTTGTTGTTAATGTTTCTGTTTCAATTAACTGAGATCTGTTCTAATTTGAATCACGTATAAAGCAACAATCCTATTTGAAGCTGGAATTTTTTTTAATGAATTGTACCAGTATGTATCTGCTTAGCTGTTAATTCTTTTTTGAAATTGTTTATACTAAATTATTAAATGTAAGTAAATATAAATAAGACGACATATAGTAATTCGATGACGTAGTGGATAAGGGCCGCTGACCGTAATCGTTGTTGTCAAACAACTTGGGTAGGTCACGGGATGGGTGACCAAAAATTATAATCTCTAGCTACTTTGTACATTGAGCTGTTTGTTTACACTCCAATTCGCATTAGGCTAGCGTGGAGGGTCACGGCCCATCCTCCTTAACCATCCATATGAAAGGCTTGAGCCTCTGGACGAAAAGGGCTGATGACGAAGGCTTACACATAAACTTTCATACAACATCTCGCTTAAAAATAGAATCTATTCAAGGAATTTATTTCAGAATGTATAATATTTCGTTATATGACAGTTAAAGTTGATATCGTTAAATAATAGAAGTTGGGTTTATTTAATAAAAAAAAATGTATACTTACCTTTATAAATATGTAAGTTATCACTCGTATTAGTCAACCATGAAACCAATTAGTCAAATGGACCAATGAACATGTGAATATAGCAGATATAAGGATTTTGAATTACCATTACGAAAGTTATATTTAATTTGGTCTAAAATCTAAGTTTTATATTAAATTTTTCTATAGCCACGACTGATGCGTCGTCAACAAACACCCATATTTTTTTCTTTTACCTGTGCTCTGAATAGGGTCCTGGGCGCTTATCGGTTTGTTTCCTAATAAATCAAAGGTGCATCCGATATTTCATGATGAATGAGATGAATTCCCTGGTTTCGTACAGATTTTTTATCCATCTTGAGTAACTCTATCTTGCAATCCCTTTAAATTATCATATATATCTACATTGTTATTACAAAACGATTAGTAAACTAATTAATTTGAAATCATATATATGTAATGATTAGAAGATTAACCGAATCTATTTTGAATTTTTTTTTATTGGTTATCATAGTTAGCAAGTGAGTTAGATATATACATTCAAATTAAAATTCAGATTGTTTATTTTCTTATATAATAAAAAATATATGATTACGTCAGTTGCAACCCTAACCATGTTATTTTAAAACAAAGGTACTTGATTAAAGCCATAGGCCGCCTAAAGCAAATTAGCAATGACAGAAGAGAAAACGTCGAATTGATACGTGTCGACTTATTTTGGTCGGATAATGGTGTACATCTGGTACTAAAGATACACCCGGTTTCTAAATTGAGTATTAAAGTTAAGCACGTCTCAAACTGTACTTAAACGTAAATTAAACATGTTTTCGTTTCTAATATTAGTATTTATAATGATCAATTGAAAAAACTAGGACTTTTTGCCATGCCAAAAGAAAAAAAAACTTATGTTATTAAGAGTAATTGCAGAAACCGGCCCTTAGTCTTTATAGTTAGTTTTATAATAAGACGGAATGGGTTTAAAAATCAAGTAACATCTTTAAGCTGATTTGTTTTTGAACTGTTATGATGATTTGGGTGTCTTATGTAATTGCTATCATTAAAAACACACTACGCACGGATAAGCATACCCTTTTGTGAGCAATTTCACAGATATCGAAAAGCGTAAAATGAAGGCCACACAAGACAAATAAATCGATGAGGGTGACGTTTTTGTGGAGATCTCGTCGATAGCAGCAACGGGGTGGTCCAACCCTGACACGCTTGCTTCAAAAACGGATGTTAAGACATTAACAAAACAATGATATACTAATTAAATGTTACTTGCATAGATTTAGTAGTTTAATAAAAAATGATTTTCTTTTATACATCAAAATTGTTCACCCGCAAGTTTCAAGGTGTGACCATCTCCTAGGTCCCGGGTTCGATTCCCGGTCGGGTTGAT